GGCCTCCTCGGGCTGGCGGTGCGGGCTCTCTGGGGAACGCAAGATCCGACGCTTCAAACACTTATTTGAACAAGAAATTGGGTAGAAACAGTTTCACAGAACTTTGGGGAGAGATTTAAGTTTTCGCTTGCTTATCAGCGAGAGTTCCTGATTAAGCGTGAGCTTTGAAGACGGGAAAAGGCAAGCCAGGTATCTGTGGAGAGATCACTTCAAACTCCAGGAGCGCAGCCGGGCACGGGGGCTGGCGAAGTGCTCGTCGCAAAGCAGCTGTGAAGGGACTTAGGAAGGGAAGATAACCGGGCCGCATGTGCGAAGCGCGGGTAGATTATAGTAAGCTCAACCACAGAGGAGATAAAGAAGAGAGTAAAGAAATAGACTGAAAAAAACCCAAACCAACAAACACCTGTTCGATTGAATATCTCCTTCTTGGCTGTAGAGGAGAGGTGAAACAGATTGTTTATCAGGCACTACTGGTTAATCAAAGTATAATGCAAAGCCCCCTGCTTTTGAAAATTTGATAGCTTTGTAGAAAGCCTGGCTGTGCTGAGGATACAATTTCTCATTCGTGCCAGAACAAATACGCTGATTCTTAAGTCACTTCTAAGATCTTGGAAGAGAGCAAAGCAGGACTTGAACTTTCACATCCCGGGTAGAAGCACTATTTAACTGATACATGTACGCCCTTAGAAATGTGCCACTCCAGCTGGTGGGGTGTGAGGAGTCCCAAAACTTAACAAGGAAAAGAGATTGCCATCTACCTCACTTCCCCTGCTAAAGTCAAGGACTTTAGAGAAAGCATTTTTTAACAAAAATCAGAGTAGCATTCTATGATCCACAAATAAAAATGAAAATTGTAGTACTAAGCCAAACTGCAGTGAATATATCCAGATGAACTTATTCTGAAAGCAGAGTTACATAAATGTTTTACCAATGTTATTACTATACAAATACAGACTGAAAAGACAGTTTGTCCCAGATGGCTTGTCTGAGTCTGAGCTGTCACATTTAAGTTATGTAGTGTTCTCTGTGCTCCGTGTGTGTTCTAAGCCACCTACAACTAAAACCAGGTTTCCTTGTTCTGACCCTCCGATACTGCAAGTATTAGAAAAGACATGTCAACCCCCCAGAACATTTTCATTTTAAACAAATGTTTGTGGGAAGATAAGTTTAGTTCTATTTCTAGAAAGGAAAAGTGGGAATAGGGGTGATAAGTCCTCCTAGAACACTTTTAATGGAATCAAAGTATTAATTAAAATTTGTTTAATCATGGAAACTACCAAGGGGCTGCAGATTTGATACACTGGGATGCTTGGGACTGATAGCTCATCAGATGAACTCTTAAGACATGCATGAAGAATGCTTACGGTGAACGTGGTGCTGAACTGAAGATGCTCAGTTCCAGAGACCATAGCCCTTATTACACATGGTTTGAAGTGTATTTTCAGTAGTGTCAACACCAGATCTCGTCTTTGTAGTTCAGTCACTCTGAGGAATTGTACTGTAGACAGCTTGTTGGTGACCAGTGCCATGAACAAAAGTTGGTTACACTTGCTTAGGACAACTCACTGCTTAAAATAATAGTGATGATCTCTCTGCACTAGAGTTGCCAGGGTTGCTAGTGCTGGTGGGGAGTCCTAAATTGGAGAACTGACACTATGGAAATATCTTAGGATCTAGTCTTGGGACATGATCCTGTAAATACTACTGATCTAATGCTACTTAGCATGAGAACTCTCAAAGCACCAGATTTCATGGTAAATAAACATTATTACCAAATAATGACTTTTGTGCAGAATCAGAACTTACACATAGGCTGGCTTACTACTTTCGTAATCTTGAACCTTGGTAGCAAGCTGAGTAGTCATCAGTATTTAGCTGAGTCTCAGCATTGTGCATCCCCTTTGCCTCCATTTTGGATGAGGAAAACTAGGGTCTAAAAGCATTAATTGCACCAACATTTCCATGGGAACACCACAGTGAAGTGGTGTTGGTCACTCTAAAGGCTTGGGGAGCTCAGGTGTTGCAAAATGAAATAGGTTTGTTTCCAGTGTGTGTCAAGAAAACCTGAAAACAACAGAACACAAAACCCAAAACAACTCCCCCCAAAACCCCCACAAACTAAACAATACTCAAGGAACTAAATGTCCCCTCAGTATTAGTGAATTTCACCTTTGCTGCCTTTTCTTACCATCTCCAGTCACTCTAATGCTGATCTTCTTTCAATGCCTTGAATCTTTTAGAATGCATCTACACCAAACACTTATGCCTGGATGGGAGACAGATACACTTGGAAATTTATGACCCTTGTTCACAGGTAAGAATTTAAGGGGGTAAAGAAAGGCTGTTCCTCATTCTACCTGTGTAATGGTAGAAAGTGTTGGGGGGGTTACAACCTTTGTCTGGTTCCTTGAATTTGTGCGTGCTGTTTTTTTGAAAAGACCGACATTTTGTAGTTGTTGTGGCTCAGAACTGCTGAGAACTTTCTCATTTCATGGAAGAAGGCCTTTGGAATACTACTAACAAATAAACTTTCCTGCTTCTGCATTATATAGGTAAATGCAGAGATAAGTTATAGGACTATATGCAGTTTTCTCAAATGCCCTATATGGATGAAATTTAGTTTGTAAAGCAAGCAGTTTATTAAATGTCTGCAGAAATGGTCAAAGTAGTTAGGCCTGGAAGTAAGACTTGCATTCACAGAACAGATCCACGGAAAGCCATAATGCAGGCTTGTATGTGTTGACAGCTGAACTTTGATCACAATAAACCACTTTATTACAACGTTTTTTGTATTAATTTCTTTCCTGCTATTACAGGAATAGGGAAGTTTTGGTACTGTGTAACACATGCAGACCTAGGTAGGTCTGTCTGATTGTATTAGCTCACAAGGATCTGTTCTGGGCAGTGATCGTGCCTCTTACCAACTAGGATAATGAATGCTAAAGCCAAAGCACTGAAAGTCTGACTCAGACATAAAGTCAAGGACTTAAAAACTTAACACAGTGAGCACATAAAATGAACCACTGAACAAATCAGCCTTCCTAGAGACAAGCAACAGCATTGCTTGTCCCAAGGCAACAGGGATCCTGCAATAGCCACTGTGCCGTGCTATTCCATGGAGCTGGCCCTTGCCATACAGTCTGTTAGAAGATACTGTTCTGTGGACTTGCTTCCAGCTATCTCAGACCTCTTTCCTAAGCCCGCCTATTGCTTCCACTTACTGTCATATTAAATTCTGTGGCATGTGAACAAATCTTTATTAAGATATTTGAAATGTTGGGAGTGGCAGCTAGCTATGGTAAAGCAGATTAGACTACATTATGGGTAGAGACTTTGGTTGCTATAGTTTGGGTACATTTTTGCTTTTAAGGAGACCAAAGATCAGCTGTGATAAAGGCAACTCCTCTGCCAGCGCTTTTTGAGCTGTCTTGTACAAGTTCTTCCTTAGGAACAAGGACTAACTTTCACTGTTTGCTGCTTTCTTCCTGACTTCTTAGTGCCTGCAGGGGAGTAGGCAGCGAGTAGTGGTTATATTGCTTTTGTCTGATAGAACTAGTGATTCTAGAAAGAGATGGATGGGGGTATGGAGGTCGTCTATCCCATGCCAACTGGGGAAGAAAAGCAGGTCCTGAGAGGAGGCCAGACTGGGGAAAGAAGAGTTGCCTTTTTTAGTTCTACTTCCTGAAATCTTCCTGCTCTCTGAGGCTTCCCTCCAGTAGCTGGATTGCTGTTACTGCAAAGCTCACTGTCCCTTCATCCATCCGGGAAACAGCTGTGACACAAGTCACCTTTCTTGCCCCTAAACCTGCTGCTCAGTCACCACAGGGTTAGAAAACTCTTGTATTAAAGATACTGAAGTCTTCAGGCAGTTCTGGAAACTTGTTTCATCTTTTCTTTCTCATGCATCCCCTTTCACTGCCAGCATTCAGTTACCATCCCTCATGGTAAGTTACAGCCTTCCCAATCCAGCTATTTATGATGCTGAGCTAATCAGGGCAGCCCGGGTAGGATGTCAGTGGAGGTTAAATGTTGCAAGTAGTAACATACTAGTGAGGGAACAACTTAATCTGTCCTCAAATTACTATTCGAGATGGGGTTTCCACAGAGTAAAAGTCAATTTTTCATTTTTTCCTGATCAGCTTCCAGTATTTTACCTATATTGAGTCATATGGTCTTGCTAGCTGCTGCCTAATCTTCTGCAAGGATAAGCTAATTTAAAACAGTTTTGAAATTACATTTCTTAGCTTAATGGGACAGTTTGCAGCTGTTGCTTTTTAGAAATCGTAAGTGTGACAGTTTCTAGGGGTGAATGGGCTCAAGGATTGGTATAACCCCATTATCACTTGAGTGACTTTTGTCACTAGTTTTATTAAAGTCAACTGCAGATTGAAAGGAGACATTTTTTCCCTAGCTCTCTAGAAATTTATCCTATGGGTAAATACTGTTTCAGACTTGAACAATGCAAAGAAGAGACAAAACAAATGAAAGCATATAAGCTTACTGTAGTCAGAATATTAGGAACTTGCAAAACAGAGCTATAACCAGAAACTGCACAAATATTGATGGCTCCTGTATGTTTCATTCTCATGTAACTCTGCAGATTATTCAGCATAAGCAATGGCTGTACAGGTTATGCAATTTTCCTGCTTAAACAAAGTGTAAATGTTTCATAATGAATTTGTCAGTGATCCAAAGTGCCATCTGTAGTGATGGTTATTTATTAGGCTTTTGGAGCAGGACTCACCTGAATTCAATGCCAGCACCTAGACCTATTAATATCTTTTGCAATAAAAGATACAACATTCTCACATTCACAGTAACAAAGAAAATGCTCTGAAGTGACAACAGTAACATTCTTTTTGCATGTGAATTTGAACTTCTTTCAGCCACAGCGGGGGAAGCTCTCCCTCACAGACGAGCTCCACTGGGCTGATGGATTTATCATTGTTTACGACATCAGTGACAGAGCATCATTTGCATTTGCAAAAGCATTGCTGTACAGGATCCGAGAGTCTCATCTAGGAGCTTGTAAAAAGTAAGTGGCATTATTTTTTTTCCCCTCAGCAAACATACAAAAATCTGAGAACATTTCTGTGAGCGGTAGGTATCCTAGTAGCAACTAAAATCTAGCAGCATCCTGGGGGTAGAACACAATACCAACAATAAGGTGCCTGACGGTAAACTCTGTTGCAAATTGCAATCTATTTCACTGTATCCAAAGCAAAGTACGTCAGGATTTTTGTTCTTTCTTACAGCACTACTATTTAAATAATTGCCATAAATCTGTTGGATATGATTTACATGGGTAAAAAGCTGGCATAGCCAGTCTATGCTTTTATTCCCCCACTCTGTTACCAAGGGAGATGCACCAATGTGGGGGTTGAAGAAAGCATTTCTGACAATAAATGAACATAATACCATGAATGTCTCCTCAACTGCCTTTAATGGTGATGCCAACTTTATTTGTGCACATGGGTGATCATATGGTAAGAAACAAACTACTTTCAAAAAGAATCACTAAAATTACAATTCTGAGTACACGTGGTGGCGTGTATTCCTGCATGAGTCAGCTGAAGGGCTTTCTAATTAAATGAGAATGAAATCCTTTCCTTGTATCAGGAGTACAAAAAAAAAACAACACCACAAACCACTTTTCTGTCTGTGTTACTGCTGACCTTTCCTAATTAAGGTTTCTCTGGAAGGAGTAATTTTAGCAAAAGCTTGAAATTAGGATTCCTGTGTTTTCTTCTGAATTGTGCCACTGACACTGATGCATCTCTTTGACTCTATTCTGTTATCTACAAATGGAGATAATGATCAGCTTGCTTCTTCATGAAGTCCAGAAGCTGACAATATACTCAGCAGTAAAGAGTATGAAAACTGCACTGGATGAAAAATACATGACTTCACGGAGTAGAGGAACTAAAATGAAAATTTACTAGTAGAGAATAGCTTGTCTGGAAAATCCTTTGACGTTTGACTACGGGAAATGGAAAACTGTAATTCTACCTGGCAAGGTTAGGGGGTTGGTTTGTTCTTTTGGGTTTTGTGCAATGCCTGTTATCCTGAACATACATACTTTTCATACAGTCTGTATATAGCACAGCATACAACATAATATTGTAATGTATCTTTTGTCTAATCAGAACCTTTTTGATTTCAGAATGGTTGAGTCATCAGTATTTTTGGTTGGTAATAAACAGGATTTATGCCACATGAGAGAAGTTGGCTGGGATGAAGGACAAAAGCTGGCCATGGATAACAAGTGCCAATTCTGGGAACTGTCTGCAGCAGAACATTGTCAGGAGGTTATGTCAATGTTCACAAAAGTCCTGAGGAATATCACCTCAAATTTCAAAGTGAAGGAAAAGAGACGACCAAGTGGATCAAGGTCAATGGCCAAGTTAATCAACAATGTATTTGGAAAGAGAAGGAAATCTGTGTAAAAATGGTTAGTCTTGAAGTAGGAGCGAGCTGAAATAATGGAGCACAGGCAGCTCTTGGGATTCAGTCAATTTCTTCCAAAGGTTAATGTCTGGAGAAGTAAGACAATGGAAACCAAAGGAAGGAGATAGTATGGTCAAGTCGACAAGGTCTAGACCTAGAAGACCTGACCTTCTATTTCCAGTTCTACTACAGATTTACTGTGTTAGGGCTATGTCACTTAAACTCTTAAGATGCTCCTCTCACCCTTTATCTCATAAGTTCTTCAGAGGAGAGTTCTAGTTTCTATTTATTCAATACCAGCATGGTCTTGGATAAAGCTTCTAGGTGCAACTGAAATATAAACAGTTATTTCCAATAAACTCAGCCTTGCTGATCAAATTCTTCAGAATTGTGAGAAATAGTTTGGGGTTTTTTTTGGTGCAAGAACCCTTGTACTAAAGAAAAGCAAAATACTGCTGCTGGATGTGATGATGTATTTGTATTCAACTCAAGGAAGGATGGCTTAGATCCTCGTGTGCCTCAAGGTGCCTAACACCTGCTGAAATTCATATGAATTAAATGCTTAGACACCAAATCTACAAAAGGTATTTACCTGCAAAGCTGCCTTGCAGAAGCACCAGAAGTAGGGAAACAGATAAACAAAGCAGTATTGTCTCCTGTTTCAGTATCTTTTTTTTTTTTTCCTTAGGTGATGAAAGAAAGTAGAGAGGGTTGAGGAGGGTGGGAACTGCAATGTCAGTGGAATGTTAGTGAGCGTTGGACTGTTTTGGCAAGGTCATTGTTTAGTGAAGTAATTTTATGCCTAGGGCCAGTGTAACATCTGGGGCTCATCCCTTTCACAGAGCAATTTTCATGGGCTGTAACAGTTTCCTTACCTGTAAGGTGGATGTGACTGTTCAATTCTTAGATGGGATTAGAAGCTTGAAAAGCATATGGACCGGTGAGGAGCACAAGTTCTTTAGGATGCCTGCCTGGATTTAAAGGTCAGCCTGCTGGTAAGACCTGTGCTCCAAACCTGCATAGAGTGTTTTTCTTAAGGACTGATGTCTTTAAAACTAGTCATCGCTAAGGTATTGAAATGCCACTTGAGAGAGCACCAAGGAATGTTAGCCACACTTTTCAAATGTGGATATTAAACATCAGATGGGTCTAAATATGTTGTCAACTGACATTCAGAGCTCTTAGTGTAGACTTAACTAAGGAAGGGCTTAGCCCAGCGTGTTTGAAAGTTCTGTGCTCATACAGAAATTATGAAAGGGAAGAGAAGTGAGCTGAAGATGAATTACTGCCTCCTACCTGTTCCAGAGGTCAGCTGGGATTCAGTCTTTCTAAGTTGCTGAGTTGAAGCCTATCTCTGCTCTGAAATTTTACCTGCATTGAAATTAGTAAGATTACTTTATCATTCTCAGCAGAATACTGATTTTCAAATGTCCACCCCCATAAGATAACATAAAGTTACATAATCTTAGCACTACTGTTGTAAAATAAAACTAAAGCACATTTTAATAAGTGATGACCTAAGATCACTTCCTTTTTTAAGTAAAGATACTGTTTATTTCACTTGTTTTAAGACTACAAATATTGGAATACAGTTCTCAGTGTTGACAGACACAGTGTTGCTTTATTTCTATGCAGATGCTGCTCTGACATATCAGGAGTAACGTATTTAACTGTATTGTCAATATCCAGCGGGCTGAACTTGAAGACTACTCATGTATACCCTTCAGGTTTCCAGCACACATGGAATTCCAGAACTACTAGTAGACTGTTGATGTGTCAGGCAGCTGTATCTCACCAGCTCTAGCACTGCCAGATTTGAGAACTCTTATCTGTATTTACTGCTATGGTATTAAATAAACTGGATATAAGATGGATGTACTAATGCTTTTTTTTTTTTCTTTACTGTGGTATAAAGTTACAGACTCTTTGACTACTGTAAAAGTGAAGCACTGTGCAGATCTGGAATTCAAATTAGAAAAAGTAAATCTGGGAGTCAGACACTTGCACAAAAGAGAGTCTCTAGCTGTGTTTCCTGTATGCAACAAAGCAGCCTTCATGTATCTTTATAGAGTGAACAGCAGAGAACTTTTTTAAAATATTCTTTATTCTTTAAAAATTTGTCAAGACAGCCAGAGAGAAGCTAATTAGTTTCGATTTGCTCTATGAATGGGAATGTGGACTTCCAGATAAGTGGAATCTGCAGTATACCGCACAGTTTTCCTTCCCTTTTTGTCCAGTTTTCTGTCCCTTTTTGTGGTAAGTGTTGGAACACAGAGTGGCTGTCTGCTGGCCCCTGTGCTAGGCTGCACTTACCTGAAAACCAGCTGAAACAGCTGCAGGATGCATTTAGACTTAAACATACTAAAGGTACACGCAGTATAGGCATAATTTGATGTTCTAAGGATCAGGATTTCACTTGTGTTTTATTTCTGGTAAGTGCAGATTAACAGGAGTGCAGAATTTGGGAAGGAATTAAATTTTAAAGCAGTAAAACAGTTCTCCCTTTCCAAGTGTATTTTATTAGTATTTATTTTTTAAAAAGTGAAGGCCTTTAAAAGAAAAATAAGATATTTAAAAGACTGATAGATACATATTGCTAAGTGTTCTTGGAGTTTTAATGCTGAAGGTAATATGTTACTGGCTGAGTCACAGTTGAAAATGCAAGCAAGAACCCTGATGGCATAACAAAGTAAATAATGTAACTGATGTTTGATGCTCACCCTTAACAGTGGCATCACCTGGAGCGTATTGAACTCATTGAAGAGAGTGGAAACGGAGCTGTTTGTGTTGCCACGGATTGCTTCAGCATACAACCCCATCCTTTCTCACCAAATAATTTTGAAAGTGTCAGACAAGAGTTAAAAGTTTCTTTCTGTCATGTCTGGAAGTCCTTGTTTATGAACTTCCTAGTTTCCGTAAAATTTTGCCTGAGAAAGGCACTCAGAATTGATGTTCTTTCTCCCTGTCTTCAACTTTTTTTTTTTAACTTTAGAAACAGTGACATAAAAGCAAAGAGATTCTACTGAAGTATAAAGGTAATAGCCCCTGGCTCCCAAATGCTGTCTCTCAGAGAGCTTTCAGGTGGTTTTTGAAGCTCTTTCTCACTATAGTTTTGAAATAAACAATCAAGACAAATACAACCTCAGCTCATTTTTCTGCTGTCATGCCTGTATGCATTAAAGTCTCTTTTTGTAAATCCCACTCTAGTCACATTCACAACAGGGCAAAGGGGAAAATGTCACAGAAAAACTTAAAGGATGATGCTCCTGGAAGAAGGATTAATGAAGTGCAGTATTGAGTAGACCAACCAAACATGCTGTCTCTTTCTAATATATTTAAATCAGGATAGCAATAAAAAAGGTGGATCAGAAGTGTTGATGCTGTGCTATACTCTGAAGACAAAAATAACTATTCTAGTTTTTTTAGCCCATTGCTAGCAGCTGATTTCTAAAGTGATTATGAAGGGTGAACATTGAAGCGCAAAGACCTTGTGAGTCATGTGAGGAGTCTTGTTGCTTTCCTTTCTGTTTATATGACTATGCTGCTTTGAAGATGGTGCACCAGTAGATCCTAGAATGGTTTGGGTTGAAAGGGACCTTAAAGATCATCTAGTTCCAACCCCCCTGCCATGGGCAGGGACACCCTCCCCTAGAAGAGGTTACCCAAAGCCCCATCCAACCTGGCCTTAAACACTTCCAGGGATGGGGCCTCCACAACCTCTCTGGGCAACTGGTTCCAGTGCCTCATCACCCCCATAGAGAAGAATTTCTTCTTCATATCTAACCTATCTCTACCTTCCTTCAGTTTAAAACCCCTTGTCCTATCACTACCTGCCCTTGTAAACAGTCCCTTCCCATCTTTCCTGTAGGCCCCTTCAGGTACAGGAAGGCTGGTATAAGGTCTACCCAGAGTCTTCTCCAGGCTGAACAACCCCAACTCTCTCAGCGTGTCTTCATAGGAGAGGTGCTCCAGCCCTCTCATCATCTTCATGGCCCTCCTCTGGACTTGCTCCAGATATAGATATTTGAAGATGTCTGACCCTGGCATTCTGTCCAGCCAGATGCTCTCACTGACTGCTGGGTCCAGATCACTCAATGGTGGTTTCAGAGTGTACACTATAAAGAAGAGGGTATTATGACTACCACTCAAAGCAAAACTAAAATGCAGTGAAGTATCCAAGAATACACTAACTTTCCATCAGTATGCCAGTTGGAGCAAGTGCTTTAGGTTAATGAAGTTTTCATACAGATCTACTTTGTTTATGAAACAAACTCCAGCTCTGATTAGTGTGCTGAAAAAGGAATCCTTGCCTATCCACTCTGAAGTGAGAAATACTTTAAAAAAAAAAAAAAGAGACGCAGACTACCAGACTACTAGACTAATCCAGAGCAATATTAAACTGTACTTGATATTAAAAAAACAAACCCTCTATCTCCTTAAACCTGTCCACAAGAGCAACGGCTTCTTTCATTGCTTTAACTTGCCCATGGAGAATAAGCACAAGGGGAAGCTAAATTTTAATGTGGTGTTCAGCCAGTTTGAAAAGCAAATCCTTGGTTTACATGCTTAAATATGGATCTGGGCACTTAACTGTCAACTTCTATTGTTTTAAAACTTGGGTTTGATTTTCCCATAAAGAAGCAGTGCTGTAAATGCCTGTTGGTTTTGTGGGGTTTTTTTTCCCCACAATTGATATTATGTGAGACAGGCAGGCTATTCTGGGTAGGAAGTTATTTTTAAACAGACATTACTCTTTTCCAGAAACAGACTCTAAGTTTCTGTCTTCTTTTAATTGCTTTACAAAGTAAATTGAGTCCCTCTGGTTATATAATTAATATCCACGTTTAGCCCTATATATTTGACATGACTTGAGCCATTTACTGCCACATTCATTTTTTAAGACTGGCTAGGAGTTCAGATATGCATTTAATTCCCGCTGAAGTCTGTAAAACATCCGGAGTTTTTCCAGTGGAGGACTCTTAACAGTACAGAGAAATAA